TGTCAGCTGATTTCTCAAAAGAAACCTTACAGGCAAGAAGGGGCTGGAAAGAAGTATTCCAAGTCATGAAAGACAAGGACCTACATCCAAGATTGCTCTACCCAGCAAAGCTATCATTTAGAATGGAACAGCAGATAAAGTGCTTATCAGGTAAGGTCAAGTTCAAGGAGTTCATCATCACCAAGCCCTTATTATATAAAATGTTAAAGGAACTTATCTAAGAAAAAGAAGATCAAGATTATGAACAATAAAATGACAAAAAACTCACAACTATCAACAACAAAATCTAAAAACAAAACAAAAACAAACTAAGCAAACAAGTAGAACAGGAACAGAATCACAGAAATGGAGATCACATGGACGGTTATCAGTGGGGAGGGAAAGTGGGGAGAATGGAGGAAAATGTACAGGGAATAAGAAGCATAAATCGTGGGTACAAAATAGCGGTTAAGAATAGTATGGAAAATGGAGAAGCCAAAGAAGTCACATGTACAACTCATGGGCATGAATTAAGGTGGGGGAGTGCTGGTGGGAGGCTGGGTACAGGGCAGAAGGAAATAAAGGGGGGGGGGAATGGGATAACTGTAATAGCATAATCCATAAAATATATAAAAAATTATTTGGAGATTTTGAAAAAAGTAAAAATAAATTTTTAAATATTGTTTAGAAAAAAAAGTGATGAAAAGCAAGAACCTACATCCAAGATTACTCTATCCAGCAAAGCTATCATTTAGAATGGAAGGGCAGATAAAGTACTTCCCAGACAAGAAAAAGATAAAGGAGTTTATCACCACCAAATCAGTATTACATGAAATGTTAAAAGGTCTTCTTTAAAAAAAAAAAGGATATGAATAAAATGGCTATAAATACATATGTATCAACAACTGAATCTAAAAATCAAAATAAATGAACAATCAGAACAAAAACAGACTGATAGATACATAGAACATTTTGACAATTGCCAGAGAGGAGGGGAGATGTGGGCGTGAGCAAAAAATGTGAAGTGATTAAGAAGTACAAAGTGGCAGCAACAGAATAGTCAGGGGGATGTCAAGTACAGCATAGGGAATATAGTTAATAATATTGTAATAACTGTATGATGTCAGATGGGTAAAAGATTTATTGGGATAATCAGTAAGTTATATCATGTGTAATCACTGGGGTGTACACCTGAAAGTAACATAATATTGTATGTCAACTGTAATTGAAAAATAAAAAATGATTTAAGGTTTAAAAAATTAATCACAAATATTCATGACATTACCTACCAAACCTAATCCTAGGTATATACCCAAGAGACATGAGAATGTATTTGCAAGTTCCAGCCAAGATGGAGGTGTAGGTAGAAACCCTTAGCTTCCTCGTACAACCAAAAGGAGGATAACAACCGATCTAAAATCAATAAACAACCAGAAGTCCCAGAAAAATCAAACTTCGTGGAACTCTGACAACCAAGGAATTAAAGAAAACAGAAGAACCAGACCTGTGTACTGAGACAAAGAAATATGGCCCAAATGAAAGAACAGAGCAAAACTTCAGAAACAGACCTAAGAGATGAGGAGATAGCCAACTTATCTGATGGAGAATTTAAAGCCCTGGTAATCAAAATGCTCACAAAACTGATTAAGCTTGGTTGAAAAATGAAAAAAGAAATGAACGATACCCAAAATGAAACAAAGCAAAATATTCAGGGAACCAACAGTGATGGGAAGGAAACCAGGACTCAAAGCAATGATTTGGAACAAAAGGGAAAAATAAACATCCAACCAGAACAGAATGAAGAAACAAGAATTCAAAAAAGTGAAGAGGGGCGGGGGAGGCTGGGATGGGAAAAATAGACAAAAAACTGTACTTGAAAAATAACTAAATAAAATTTTTAAAAAAAGTGAAGAGGTACTTAAAAACCTTTGGAACAGCCTGAAACGTTCCAATATCTGAATTATAGGGGTGCTGGAAGGAGAACAACAGCAAGAAATTGAAAACTTATTTGAACAAATAAATGAAGGAAAATTTTCCCAATCTGGCAAGGCAAATAGACTTCAAGAAGTCCAGGAAGCCCAGAGAGTCCCAAAGAAGTTGGAGTCAAAGAGGAACACGCTAAGGCACATCATCATTAAGTTACCCAAGATTAAAAATAAGGAGAGAATCCTAAAAGCAACAGGAGAAAAGGAGACAGTTACCTACAAAGGAGGTTCCATTGGACTGTCAGGTGATTTCTCAAAACAAACCTTGCAGGCAAGAAGGGGCTGGAAAGTATTTGAAGTCATGAAAGGCAAGGACCTACATCCAAGATGACTCTATCCAGCAAAGCTCTCATTTAGAATGGAAGGGCAGGTAAAATGCTTCCCAGATAAGGTCAAGTTCAAGGAGTTCATCATCATCCATCCCTTATTATATGAAATATTAAAGGGACTTATCTAAGAAAAAGGATGAAAAAATATGAATAAAATGACAACGAACTCACAACTATCAACAAAATGAACCGAAAAGAAAAGAAAAACAATGAAAACAAAAACTAAGCAAACAACTAGAACAGGAACAGAATCAGAGAAATGGACATCACATGGAGGGATTTCAGTGGGGAGGGGGAAGGGAAGAATAGAGGGGAAAGGTACAGGGAAGAAGCAGCATACTCAGTAGACATAAAATAGATGGGGAAAGATAAAAATGGTATAGGAAACAGAGAAATCAAAGAACTTACATGTACAACCCAGGGACATGAACTAAGGCAGGGGGGAATTTTGGAGGGTTGGCAGGTGCAGGGTGGAGGAGGATAAAGGGGGGAAAATTCTGAAAACTGTAGTAGCATAATCCATAAAAAAATACTTTTAAAAAAGAGAATGTAGTTGCACACAAAGACCAATTCAAGAATGCAGTTTTATACAAAATAGCCAAAAACTGTAAACAGTTCAAATATCCATTAATAGGCAAACTGAGAACCAAACTGTGGCATATTCACTCAACAGAATACTACTCAGCAGTAAAAAAGATCAGATTACTGACACATGCAACAGTATAAATTTCAAAAACATAATATTAAGTGAAAGAACTTTTACACAAAAATCATGTTAAGACACCTTTTCTATAAATCTATAGGCTAGGCAACACTATGGCATAAAAATTTAGAATAGTGGTTATTTTGGCAAGAGTGGGATAGGAGTTAACCAGGAATGAGCAAGGGGGGGCTTCCATGGGATAATGGTAGTATCTTGTTAGGGGTATGGGTTCCATAAGTGTATGTATTTGTTAAAAACTGAGCAAAAGTACCCTCAAGATTTGTGCAGTTGCTATATGTAAAATTTATATCATAAGAAGCCTGTAAAAATATTGAACTGTAGTTCATTATATGCATGCTAAATATTTAAGGCACATATACAGATGTCTTCAGGGATAGATAAAGGAATGGATATGTGAGAAAAACAAATATAGGCAAATATTAATTGCAGAACCAAAGTGGTGGCTATAAAAGTATTTACTGTATGGTTCTTTCAACTTTCTTGTATGCTTGAAAATGTGTATAATAAAATACCAGGGCAGAGGGACTAAAAAAAGAGAAATCAAGGAAGGAAGAGGCAGCAGAGAATGCTAAAGAGGAAGAATTGGTGAAGTGGAAAAAAATGAGCCAGGTTTGGTTTCCCAAAAGCCAGTTAGAAAAGCAACTTTAGAGGAGGGAAAGGCAATTATGTAGTTTGAAAATTCAAGTAATATTAAGACAGGGCCTTTGGATTTGGCTGTTAAGAGAAGTTGAGCGGAGGAGAGAAGTCACACTAAAGTGGAAGGAGAGAAAGCTGTTGGTGAGGAAGCAGAGGCAGTAAATGCAGAGAACTTCTCAGAAACATGGCTGTAAAGGAGGCCAAAGAGACCAGCAATAGCTGAAGAATGTGGGGTCCAGATGATAGACAAAACTGGAGCATGTTCATTTGTGGATGGGCATGAACCAGCAGAGGATCAAGGGACACAGTAGGTAGAACTGTGAGGATATAATTTAGTTCAAATGAGGTTACACTAGATTAGGTTGGGCCTTAATCCAATGACCAGTGTCGTCACAAGAAAAGGACATATTAAGAAAAGAAAAGGACATAGTAAGAAGAGAAATTTGGACAGAAAGAGACACAGAGAGGTGGCCATGTGACAGTGGAGACAGAAATTATAGTGATGCATCTACAAGTTAAAAAGGGATCAGTCACATGGGCCTAATCCCACATGACTGGTGTCTTTATAAAAATGGGAAATTTGGGCACAGGCACAGACACTCACAGAGAGAACATGTGAAGAGACACAGAGAGGTGGTCATGTAAGTGTGAAAAGAGAAATCGCAGTGATGCATTTACAAGCCAAGGAACACTGAGCACTGCCAGCCCCACCTGAAATTGGAAGAAGAAAGGCAGGGTTCTCCCCAAAAGAGAGAGAGCTTGGCTGACACCTAGGTTTTAGACTTTCAGCCTCCAGAGCTATGAGACTAGATTTATTATTTTAAACCACCCACTTTGTTGTACTTTGCCATGGCAGCCCTGCAAAAGTAATACAGAGGAGATGAACAATGAAGAGACACGGGTGATAAGAACAGGGGTGATGTCCTTGACGAGGTGATGTGGAACCATTTCCAAGGTACCAGGGGAAGGGCTGGCCTTTGATAGTATCAGGGCCACCCTCTTCCACTGAAATAAGTATACCATTTTTCAGGGCAGATCTAAATAAGTAAGGGTTTATCCAGAAGCTTCATACAATATAGAATGCTTCAAACAGCCCTTATAATAGATTATCTTTCCTTTTAACTAACACACAATATGCAGCTTACATATTAGAGTTACTAGTCTTCCTCTAAACATACAAGAACCAATCCATGAATCTTAAGTACAGCAATTCTCTCCCTTCTGAAAGGAATTTGAGAACAAAGAAACAAGTCTTACCAACAGAAATGGAGCCAGACAATCAGCCACTGTTCAAAACAAAACAACTAGAGCAAAAGCCTAGTAATCCAAAATCAGGAAGCCCCTTACCTTGAGCTGCTGCTGGAGTTCACTGTTCAGCCGGGCCAGCACTGCATTTGCCTCTTTATTTTTGCGGATAGCGGTTTGAATAGCCTTCTTTTGTTTGGAATATTGTCTACAAAAAGTACAAAAAGTTCAGTGAAATAGAACTTAGAGGTGTGGACCCTGGACTCTTGTCAGAACAATCTGATTCGTGAGAAGTGCTGAACTAACAAGGGGCTAAATGTCACAGGGCTCCAAAAATAAAATCATATATTCACAAGCAGGCAGGCAGGCACACACCAAATTAAACAAGTTTGTCAGGATGAATTATTTACACCTAAAGTACCCATTTTATAACTTGAAGAAAAGCTGTGAATAGGGTTTCGAATACTTTGTGTTCCATTTATTCCCAGATATTTTAATAATTATTTCTTCTGGACAAACCACATTAAACTGGAATGTCCTTTTTGTGTAGGCTTTAATGGGATTTAAAAGACCTGCACGTGGCCCTTGTGGACAACTATGAAGGTAGAACAAAAACATTCTCTTTAGCAAAGATCCTACATTAATTTAGCCAGCCTACACAACTCTCTTTTATGCCTTGATTATTAGGGATAAAACGCTTGAGTGTGAGTGAGCACATGCATATGCATACACCAGCATACATAGCTGTAACACTTGAGAAATGCACAGAAACGTTTCAATGCCCATATTCCCACATTAAGTCAATAGTAAATTCAAGGAACAGGTATAAATAGGGTGACCATATGTCCCACTTTGCCCATTACAGTCTCTGCTTACACTGCCTGTCTGGCCCTAATTATTCCTAGCACATTCTTTCTCCCTCGAAACTGTCCACAGTTGGGATAATAAATCAACATGGTTGTATAACCTACAACTTTATATCCCACAGCAAGAAACACTAAATTCTCAGAGTGAAATGGCAACTTAAGTTCCCTTAGAAAAACAAATATATTTGTAATCACTGAGAGATAAGTTCTACTCCAGAGCAACTAATGCTCTGATGTATTGTGAAATGCATTGTGATCACTGTAGCAATCCGATTAATATTCACTGGAAATATTCTCTATGCCAGTCATTCTGCTATTCTGTAGGAGGTATACATACTCTCTTCGCCAACAAATGTGAAGACTAGTTTTTCTTTTTTTCACACAAAGATGTTAGTTATTAGTGAATTGACTTTTTCTAGTGCTTCCTGATGATTTTTCAAGTTTGGCTCATCCAGTCTTACTCTTTCTTGAATGAAAAATGCTACCTCTTCTATGACATCTTCATGGGTCCTCTGAGCTGAAAACTTCTTTCTCCTGAATTTCAGTCTTTTAAAAAAATTATTCAATTACAGTTGTTCCCATTTCCCCCCATTACTCTCCCCCTGCCCTACATACCCCCCACTTCCCACCCTCAATCCTTCCCCCATTTGTCCTTGTCCGTGGGTCCTTTACGCATGTTCCTTGATGACCATTCCCCTTCTTCCCCTCATTATCCTCCTCCCCCTTCCCCTCTGGTCACTGTCAGTTTGTTCCTTATTTCCATGTCTCTGGTTTTATTTTGCTCCCTTGTTTGTTTCATTGATTGGGTAATTTTCACCCTCATATATAGGAAAGGGGCTTCAAAATCTACTTTTTTAAATATATAGACTAGATGGTTTCAGGACAAGATGGAGAAGACACATCTCTCTATTCCTTCCTAGAAGTACATACAGTTAAACACTGGATACAATGCATAAAACATAAGATGACTCCAAAAAGTTGAATGGAGAAGGTAAACTACCTAGGAAACTCAGTACCCAGGGAAACATATAGCTGGGAATTCCCTAGGTGTTCTTTTTTGCTGCACAGGTCCTAGACTGGATAGTGAAGATGTTGGCCATCCATAAAGGTCAATGAGGGCGGATCAAAAATAACCCCCCCAACAAAACCTGCTCTCTCTCTCTAATCAAAGAACTTGGAAAAGGGCAGCCTAGCAAGACAGAAATCAGATACAATATCCCCTCTGATTATAGATATAAAATCTTTAACCAAGTATTAGCAAACAGAATTCAGTAATATATAAAAAGAATTATATACCATGACCAAAAGGAGTTTATTCCAAGGATGAAAGATTGATTCAATATTCAAAAATCAATCAATGTAATCCACCATCCTAATAGGTGAAAGAAAATCATATGACCATATAAATTGATGTAGTAAAAGCACATGATAAAATTGAACACCTATTTATGATTAAAAAAACAAACCTCTCAGAAAACTATGAATAGAGGTGAACCTCCTCAACTTCATAAAGAAGTTCTACAAAAAAAACTACACCAATGTCATACTTAATGAAAATCTGAATGTCCTCCCCCCAAATATTAGGAAGAAGACAAGAATTTCTACACTCATCACTATTTTCAATACTGGAAATCTTAGCTAGCACAATTATGCAAGAAAGTAAAAGACAAAAAAACTGTACTTGAACAATTAAAATAAAGAATTTTTTAAAAGAAGAAAAAAAAACCCTAGACATAGCACATAACCCAGTAATCACACTCCTGAACATTTATCTCAAAGGAATGAAAACTTATGTACATACAAGAACCTGTACACAGATGCTCACAGCAGCTTTATTCGTAATACTCAACCAACTAGACACAACCAAAATGTCTCTCAACAGGTGAATGACTAAACAGATGGTGGTACACCTATGCCATAGAATACTGCTTAGCAATATTAATTGAGATACATATAACAACTTGAAGGGATGTCAAGGGTATTACACCAAGTGCAAAAAGACACATGCTGTATGATTGTATTTACATGACATTATCAAAATGACAAAACTATAGAAATAGAAAACAGGTTGGTGGTTGTCAGGGGCAAGAAATGGCCGAGAAGAAAGAGTAGGTGTAACTCCAGTATCTTGATTACAGTGCTGGTTACAAGACTCTACACATGTGATAAAATAGCAATGAGCTACTGTTGACCCTTGAATAACCAGGTTTGAACTGCATAGGCCCATTTATATGCAGACTTTTTTCAATAAATACCTGCACTCTTTTTCCATCCATGGTTGGGAGTCTACAGATTTGAAAGACTGAGTAGATGCACTGACTGACCAATTTTCTATAGGGCGCTTGGACATTTGTGGATTTTGGTATCTGTGGGGGGGGGTAGTGTGGGGGTACTGGAACCAATCCTTTGCAGACACCAAGTTTTTGGATAGTAAAAATTTGTACATGAATTCTTGACTTCAGGGAGGTAAGTCGATAACCCTAAACCCCACATTGTTCAAGTGTCAACTATATACACATGCACTGTCCTAATACCCATTTTCTGGTTTTGATATTATACCACATTGAGAACATCATGTAGGCATGCAGACACTGCCACACTGGCTGCTGGACATGTCCTTAAGTGGTACAGGACACCTGGGGTTAAAGAGATGAGCAGAAGCCATGGAGGCTGGCATAAGTTTAGCCATAGTACTGTCACTCAACATCACATATCTCCAAACTGCTCAAAGCGTTCTATTTTCCAAAGTCCATGCTAAGTAGATACACGAGATGTGGGGGAAAACCAATTAAGCCAAATGAGTTTAAAGAAAAACTCCACTTTTGACCTTAAGGGCAGCTATTAATGATTACACAATCTGAGATCTGTTTATGACATGACTTGTAACTTGGACTCACTTCCTTTGCCCTAAATAGAGTAGGCAATGATGATATGTAAAGGAGAATTTGTTTCTTATAATAGGCCAGTTCTGATGTTCTTTTCCTGAAGAGCTGATGAGGATTTTGCAACTCGTCTATTTTTTAGCCTTTCTTAATGAATGTTCTGTTACAGAATTAAGAAAATGATTTGTAATAGATAAAAAAAAATGTACTTGAAAAGTAACTAAATAAAATTTAATATTAAAAAAAAGAAAAAGAAAATCATTTGTGACTTTTCTCAATTTTCCCAAAGAGGATACATAGTAAAGGCCAATGCAGATGAATATGTGGTCTACTTACTATAGACAATGGATATCTAAGGGCATCAGAGCTTAATTCTTTCCCAGAACCCTGGTTGAGAAAAGACCACATATACACTAACCACCATGTGCCTGGCTGTCTCTCTCCTTGGGGCTTAAAAAATTATGAATGCTAAGCCACTCCTTACCACTCCAAAATAAACTGGTCTGGGAGATAAAATTGGTTGCATAAAGTCCCCTGACCCCAAAACTTAACTCCCTGCCATTTATAACGCTACTTATGTTGCTGATGGGTGCTAGTCTCTCAGCCTGACACCATGTGGTTACCTAACCAACAAGAGAGTATCATGGTAAGGGACAGTCACTGAACAAGCAGATAAAATATCTCCTTTTAACAAATGGTGCTAGGATGACAGAATATCCACATGCAAAAGAATAAAGTTGGACCCCTTCCTCATTCTATACACAAAAATGAACTCAAAGTTGATCATAGGCTTCAGTCTGAAACCTGTAACTATAAAACGTTTAGATGTAAACACAGGAATAAATCTTCATGAACCTGGGTTAGGCAATGGTTTCCTAGATGTGATACCAAAAGCACAAGTGACGAGAGAAAAAAATGGAAAAACTGGACTTCATCAGAATTTAAAACCTTTGTGCTGCAAATAATACCATTAAGAAAGTGAAAAGACAATCCACAGAACTGGAGAAAATATTTGCAATTTAGATACCTGATAAGGTACCTATATTCAGAATATATGAAGAACTCATAACTCAAAAATAATGATAAAAATCCAATGTAGGAATGGGCAAAGACCCTGAATAGACATTTCTTCAAGTAAGACAAATGGTCAGTAAGCACATGAAAAAATGCTGGACCAATTAGTCATTAGGAAAATGCAGTGAAAACCACAATAAGATATTACTTCACATCCACTAGGATGGCTATAATTTAAAAAAAAAAAACATAACAACAAGCATTGGCAAAGAAGAAACTGGAACGCTCATACATTACTGGCAGGATTGTACAACACTGCAGCCATTGTGGAGCACAGTTTGACCATTCCTCAAACTGTAAAACACGGACTTACTATAAGAACCAGCAAATCTACCCCTAGGTATATGCCCAAGACAAATGAGAACATAAGTCCCCATAAAAACTTGTTAACAAATAGTATAGAAGCATTATTCTTAATAGCTGAAAAATAGAAATAACCCAAGTGGCCATAAGCTGATGGATGAATAAAATGTGGTCTATCAATACAATGGGAAATTATTCAGCAATAAAAAAGAATTAAATTCTGATTCATGATGCTACAACATGGATGAACCCTGAAGATATTATGCTAAATAAAAGAAGCTAGTCACAAAAGACTACATGTATGATTCCATTCACATAAAATGCCCAGAACAGGGAAATCAATAAAGACAAAAAGTCAATTAGTAGCTGCCTGTGGCTTAGAAGAGGGGAGAATGGAGAGTGACTGCTAATGGACACAGAATTTCTTTGGGGGGTGATGAAAATGTTCAAAAATTAGATCATAGTGATGACTGCATGACTTTGTGAATATACTAAAAACCACTAAATTATACACTGATAAGGATGAACTGTATGCTATATGAATTATATCTCCATAAAACTATTTAAAAAAACAACAAATAAAGACAAGAAAAGGAAAAGGATCTCTTTGTGAACACTCCCAACTGCCTTGCCAATCCACTCTGGAGGATGGTGTAGCCACTGCTGATTATCATTAATGTGAAGCAGAGATTAAAGTGGAAAGCTGGGGAATTACATGGAGGAAAGTTGAACCATGTTTGTCCCTGATAGAGATCCATGCCCTAAGCTTGGGGGTGGCTGGAAGACGAAAGCTCTCAATGACCTATATAGACCAAAATACTACTTCCTTTCAGCACCGATGGCAGCAGGGCACTATCCATTTGGAAAAACAAAAACCAAAACCATCCTCTGAAAAAGAATGCTACACAGATTTAGAATGGGGTTTTGGCTTCAAAGGCAAGTTATACCCACAAAATCTGTTGCTTTACTTAGTTACAAAATAGTCATGGGGATGTAAAGTGCAGCACAGAGAACACAGTCAATAATATTGTAGTAACTATATATGGTGCCAGGTGGGTACTGAAATGTGGGGAGGAGGGGACATTTATAAAGTATATGATTGACCACTATGCTGTATACCTGAAACTAGTACAAAATGATGTGCAGTGTAAACTCTAATTGAAAAATTAAACAAAAAGAAAACACCTATTGCTTTTCTTTCCATAAAAGTGAAAGCAAGAGAAAATCCACAGCAGTTGCTGATACCTGCAAGGTCTCTAGACCAGTTTCATGATGGATCTCGGGCACTTACATTAGTGATCAATAGGGCTCACTTGAAGTCATACACAGCAACAGGTTTCTGCCCTTAACACCTTGCTCAATTCCACAACAGGGAAACTGAGGCAAGTGCCAGCTCTTCGTAAGCCAAAGCCTTTGAAAAAGAGTTATTTCTCCAAAATATTGTTCTCTCGGCCCACCTACCCTTCAATGTCTGTTACAATATCTGGCTATGGAGACACTGCAGTTAATGATTCTATGCTGAGATGATCAACAACAGAAAGTTTATGGGGATTAAAAAGATCATGGGGATGTAAAGTACAGATCAGGGAAAAGAGTCAATAACATCATAATAAACTATGTACAGTGAAAGATGGTTACTAGACTTACTTGTAAGAAATATAAATGCTGAATCACTGTGTTGTACATCTGAAACTAATATTGTATGTCAATTGTAATTAAAAATACATAAAAAATTTTTTAAAGAAATCATATCCCACATCTACTGAAATTTGGGTATAAGGGTCATGAAGCTAGAGCTATTTTCCATGGGGAAACATAAGATAAGACAGGAAAAGAGGGAAAACTGACAGTTAGATCACTGTCTTCTTCATAGAAAAATGTGACCCAGCACATGGAGTGGAAGCGAAGGGAGAAAGGGAAAGAAATCAAATCGAAGTACACCATGGTCTTGTCTTCGCTTGCCCCTCGGGTCAGGATAGGACCTATAGCTTAGAAACCTGTTTCTGTGTGACTGGAAAATGGTAATCCCATCACAGAGATGAGTAAGGTAACACTACATCCATAAAACCATACCTTTTTATGGTATGAGTATAAATGTAAACATATCTACACGTACCTAAAGATTTAAAAGGAAGTCTCTGACGCTGCTGTCACTCATCTGTTCTACTTACTTTTGGACTGTTGGATGGGGTTTCACAGTTGCTGCAGACGCTGGCGCACCAACAGTAGCAGAAGGCTCTTGATTTTCTGCAGCTTGATTTTCAGGTCGTAATTTCCTACGAATGGGCTTTGATGGAGGCTGAGAATATGGCATGTCCTGTAGATTAAAAAGAAAACAAAAACCCCAAAATGTTAAACATGTAGATGTTTCCCCCATCATGCCAATACCCTTATGTTCCTCTAAGGTCAGGAATGTGCTCTACTGGAAGTCCATACCCAAGCATATATGGCTGATTTGCTGCTCAGAAAAAGCTGGACGGATATGGGCATCAGATTCCACTGGCCTTTCTTTCCTCCTTGTTTTTTTTTTTAATGCTTACAGACTATTACCTCTTTCTTGTCGCCTGGAAGGACATAGGAATTAGATTCCAGGGACCCATCCACCCTCCTTTCCTTATTATTGTAAATGCTGTGTGCATCTCAAAGCACAGAGCCTTTTCTACTAAAGACAAAATTTGCTCTTGCCTCACTGTGGTGCTTTTTGGAATATGTTCTAAGTTTTAAAGTTTATAACAGTCTCAGTCATATGTTCAGCATTTTCCTATACCCCACTTAATACATAGTGTCTCACTATGGAGACAGTTGACGTGCTTCCTTGAAGGCACCTGCTTCACCTGTGTACCTGAGCCAGGGCCCATTCTCTTTCCTGAGAGAAGGGCCTGAGAAAATGGGGAAGAACAAGAGGAGAATGAGAAGATGAAAGGACAGCACAATGAATAGTGATGCCAACCAAGCAAATGACCTGGGACTCAGTAATATGAGTAGGCTGAAATGCAGAAGAGACCACAGCACAAAGACAAAGGTGGGGAGACAAATCACACCCCCAAAAGGTGCTCCTAGAGGCATAGCAGTGTGTGCGGTTCTGCTAAAGGCATATGTCCCTCCCCACCACACCTCTCAGTCTTGCTAACAGAAAAGCCGCTGTATTTAGCTGGGAGGTTGAAGAGGGAAGTACAAACTGCCAGCAACATCAATGTCCAGCTCAGGAATCATCAGAACCCCATCTTCACACAGAACCCAATTTCTAGGAAATCTGGGTCATTAACATTCATATCAGGACACAAAAACCTTAAAACGGTAGATGTGCTAACAGAGGCAAGAAGCCCAAGAGAGAGCTCACAATGCCACCACAGTGGCACCCTTGTGCTGGCCTTACCTTCTTTGTTGGACTACTCTCGGCAGCTTGGGAGGGGGCTCTGCTCAGTTGGGGGTGTAGCTCGGCCTCGGACCCTTGCTCAGACTGCAGCAAAAGATCAATAAGATAAAAATGCAAAACCATAACCACCCAAATATATAATAAAGAGCACTTAGGAAAACAGTCATGACAGGGAAACTGATTTACACCAAGTTGCAGCCAAGCATGGGCAGGTCTACTGATCACTGGGAAAACCTTCCATAGACCCTGTTCTTCCCTCCCATCCCTCTTCCAGCATTGCTGAACCTCAGGAAAAGGAGTCATAGGATGTCTTCTTTAAATAGACATATATATTGCTAAAAAGTAACACTTCACAAACTCAAACTAAAAATAACAAAGCTTATGGGAAAAATAGGGTTGGGAAAATTTAAATTTTAACCTGAATACTAACAAAAACAATAATCAAACAGAAAACACTGAAATTTTAAAAATATGTTAAATTCCTAATAAAGAAACACTCTAGATTGAGATCCAAGATGGTGAAAGAATAAGTGGAAGTTACACTAACCCCCTCCCAAGACCAATCCGGAATTACAACTAAGCTGTGGAGAAATTATCCTGAATAACCAGCTGAACACTAGCTGGAGAGAAACCTTAGAGCCACGGACAGACAGATGAAACCACTTCATCGTATGACTGGTAGGGAGTGCTGAGGAGGTGTGAGAGGGCTGGCAGGACTCCCACAGGTGGTAGCAGAAGTTCTGGAGGGTATTTCAGCAGAAGAGGGGTTCCCCCTGAGAAGTGTAGGGCCTGAACCTCAAGATGGGCTTGCCAGCCTATACATAGACCAGAGCAGGAAAAGAACCCAGATAACATCCACCTGTGAAAAGTAGTAGGGGTTCTGTTGGCCAGAGAGAGGCAGCTAGAGATGCAGAGAGCCTTTTAAAAGGCCAATAGACAAAATTTTGTTTGCAGCCAGTTACCCTGGGCTCTGGAAGAGGGAGGGCAGAGTGTACTAGAGACATTTGAGGAGACTCTGGGATTGGGGGATCTGGGGAGAGAACTGAAGGAACAAACAGCTTCTGGATCCCTGTGCTGAGTCATTCCCCAAATGACTGCAGGAGCCATTACTCTCAACAGAGCACTCCTCTCTGAATAGCATCAGCCTTAGGGGAAGTAACAGCCCCATCCTGTGGTGCTTAAGCCAGGTTGCTGATTACAGCTTGATCAATTTAACAGCTGTTCAGTTTAACACCTAATTAGATTAACGACTAAGGGGAAAAAGAGAAACAGTCAAAATGGGAAGACAAACAGAACTCAAATGCAAGAGCAAGAAAGTTCTCCAGAAGAACTAGATGAAATGGAGGCAAGCTACTTATCAGATAAGAGTTTAGAGTAATGATTATAAGGATACTCAACAGCATGAGAAGACAAAGAAACCTTAAAAAAGGGCCACTCACAAATAAAAAAAATGCAATATCTGAAATAAATAATACATTGGACGGAACAAACAGTAGGTTAGATGAAACAGAGGATCAAATCAGTGATTTGGATGACAAAGTAGAAAAGAACACCCAGGCAGAGCACCAAAAAGAAAAAAAAAATTTTTAATGAGAAAGGCTTAAGAGACAGTTTGAACAAAATGAAGTGTAACAACATCTACATCATGGGAATAGCAGAAGGAGAAGAGAGGGAACGAGGGATCAAGAACCTATTAAAAGAAATAATGATAGAAAATTTCCCAAATCTGGTGAAGGAAAAAGACACACAAATCCAGGAAGCTCAGAGTTCTGAACAAGTTGGACCCAAGAGTCCTGTACCAAGACACATCATAATCAAAATGACAAAGCTTAAAGACAAGAAGATAATCCTAAAAACCACTAGACAAAAGTAGGTAGTTACCTACAAGGGAGAACCAATTAGATTGTCATCTGATCTCTCAACAGAAACATTTCAGGCCAGAAATGAGTGGTGTAAAATATTCCAGGTGATGAAAAGCAAGGCCCTACAACCAATGCTACTTTACCCACAGGCTAACATTTAAAATCGAAAGAGAAATAAGGCAAGAAAAAGATATAGGAGTGTTAACTCCAAAGCAGTACTGCAACAAATGTTAAAGGGGGATGGAGGGAGAGGGAGAGGAGGAGGAGGAGAAGAAAAGCAAAAAGAAAAAAAAGGGAAAATAATATAAAGTTAAAAAGCATTAAATATGTATCTATCAATATCACCCTAAATGTACATGGTTTAAATATTCCAACCAAGCCATAAGGTAGCTGAATGGATAGGAAAACAAGACCCATATATACGCTGCCTTCAAGAGACCCACCGCAGTTTGAAAGATACACATAGACTCAAAGCAAAGGGATGGGAAAAGATATTTCATGCAAATGGAAGAAACAAATCTGGGGTAGCAGTACTTATATTTGACAAAATAGATTTTAAAACAAAGGCTATAATAAGACACAAAGAAGAACACTACATAATGATAAAGGGAACAATCCAATAAGAGGATATAACTGTGGTAAATATTTACACACCCAATATAGGAACACCTAAATATGTGAAGCAAATCTTGATGGACATAAAGGTGTTAGGTTGCAACTAGGAATGAGTGGCCAGAGGGGAAATAAAGCAGGGTCCTCGCCATTACAATCTAACAAAGAACTTAACACAGGAGGCTAGAAGCAAAAGGGAAACATGTCTCACCAATTAACTCAGCAGTCCTGAGCTCAGTTTGGTAAGATTGTCAGGTGTACAGACCATTACAAAACAGCACATGAAGACAGGAGAGTCCTTGAGACGGCTGAGAAAGGGGCTTCTGTAACAATCTCACTGAACATCATAAGCAGGAATTGCACAGGAGAAACAGGGGAACCTATGCTTGGAAAGGGGGCCTCTGTAACAATTTCACTGAGACAAACAGCCTTTACTAACTGAGAAAGAAAGCCTTTGTAGCTGTACATTATTTCCAATGGAAAGGAGGAGTGGAAGCTGGAAGCCAGCTTAGTTATATAACCCCTGAACCTCAATAATTGACGTACTTAGATTAACTATAGAAGTACCCACTTGTAGTGTCAGCTCAAGTGTACACAACAAACTCGCTAACTTACTAACACACTTACAACTTTATTTTCACTATATGTGGAGCATTTAGACTAGATGAGTACCTGCCTGCAGCTTTGTGCTCATATGTGTTACATAAATAAACTTGCTACCTCATTTCCACCAAATGTCTCTCATTTGAATTCATCTCTTCTGGTAAAACAAAAAAATGAGGCAGGGAAGGGAGGCCTCCTGACTCAGGTCTCTCTCCCTCAACCATAACAAGGACAGAAACTGACAAAAATACAGTCATAGCCAGGGATTTTAATACCCCTTTGACTTCAACGGATAGATCTTCCAGACAGAAAATCAACAAGGAGACAGCAGCTTTAAATGACACACCAGGTCACACGGATTTAATTGCTATCTTTGGAGCATTTCATCCCAAAGCAGGAGCTTATACATACTTTTCAAGTGCACAAGGAACATTTTCTAGGATAGACCATATGCTAGGACACAAAACAAGTCTCAATTAATTTAAGAACATTGAAATCACATCAAACATCTTTGAACACAATACTATGAAACTAGAAATCAATCACAAGAAGAATGCTGGAAAACATGCAAAGTCATGGAAGCTAAATAACATGTTATTAAACAATGAATGGGTCAACAAAGAGATCAAGGATGAAGTCAAAAGATACCTTGAAACAAATGGAAATGAGAACACAACAATCCAAAATCTGTAGGACACAGGGAAAGCAGTTCTAAGAGGGAAATTCATAGCATTAGTGGCCTATCCCAGAAAACAAGAAAAAGCTCAAGTAAACAATCTAACTTCACACTTAAAGCACTTAAAGGAACTTGAGAAAGAATAACAAACAAAGCCCAAACTGAGTAGAAAGAAAATAATAGAGATCAGAGCAGAAATAAACAAAATAGAGTCTTAAAAATGATTTTATAAAAACATCAATGAATCGAAGAGCTGGTTCTTAGAAAAGATAAACAAGATTGAGAAACCTTTAACTAGACTCAAAGAAACAAAGAGAGAGGAACCAAATAAAGTAAAAAATGAAAGAGAAGGAATAACAACTGACACCAACGAAATGCAAAGAAATGTAAGAAAATATTATGAACATCTATATGCCAACAAACTGAACAACCTAGACAAAATGGATAAATTCCTAGAAAGATACAGTCTTCCCAAACTAAAGAAGGAAGAATCAGAGAATCTGAACAGACAGATTACACCTAATGAAATTGAAGCAGTAATCAAAAAATTCCCAACAAACAAAATACCTAGACTAGATGGCTTCATAAGTGAATTTTACCAAACATTCTGAGAAGAACTAACACCTCTCCTCAAACTATTTCATAAAATTCATGAGGGAAGGCTCCTAAACACATTGTACACATTGTCAAGATACTACAAAAAAAGAAAATTATAGGCCAATATCCCTGATGAACATGGACACTAAAATCCTCAACAAAATATTATCAAGCCGAATACAGCAATGAATCAAAAACATTACAGACCACAATCAAGTGGAAATTTTTCTGGGAATGCAAGGTTGGTGCCACATTTGTAAATCAATAAATGTGATTCATCACATAAACAAAATGAAGGATAAAAACTACATGATCATATCAACAGATGCAGAACAAGTATTTGATAAAATCCAGCACCCATTTATAATAAAAATTCTCACCATTGTGGGAATAGAAGGAACATACCTAAACATGATAAAGGCTGTATATGACAAACCCACTGCCAGCATCATACTCAATGGGCAAAACCTATAAGCATTCCCCTTAAGATTGGAAACAAGACAGAAAGGCCTGCTTTCACCTCTTATTCCACACAGTACTGGAAATCCTAGCTAAAGCAATTAAACAAGACGAAATACGAGACATGCAAATTGGAAAGGAAGAAGTAAAACTTCCATTATTTGCAGATGACATGATAGTGAACACAGAGACTCCCAAAGATTACACCAAGAAACTACTAGAACTGGTAAATGAATTCAGCCAAGTAGCAGGACACTAAATTAATATCCAGAAAT